GACTATACACAAAAAAGTATGTATTTGGGATGATTAAAATGTAGTATTCAAACAATTAAGTGACTTTAAAAATGCAGCATTAAGATGGTATGGGATTTTTTCATATATGAGAGGATACAAACTTGGCTTTAAGCTACTTAAGCTGTTTCCCGTTAAAAAAACCCATATAGATAAAACTGCTCAAGACATTCAACAAAAAGGCACAGCTAGGGGAAAACACGCACTAATTATAATTCAGCTGCTCATCTCTTGCTTTTGTATATGGTTCTTAAACTACTGCTCCTGCCATCTTACTGTGAGGCACCAGATCCTGAACAGCTGGAAGCAGTCTTCCCTGAAAGCACTGTATACACCAGGCATACACAAAAAGCGCTCCTCTGCTTTTCTGTAATTTAATATCTTGAACCTCTAAGTACCTGTTGGGATAATCAAATTGCATTAATTGGTTAAGAGCATTTTCGTGCAACAACTGATGTCCCATTTACTCACCTCACTACAGTGGTCCTCCTGCTACTCCCTGTAGGATTACTTTCACAGCCCAGAGATGCCAGCTTTAGGAATGCTCTTCCAACAGTAGCATCTGGCCCCTTGGCAAACTCCCTTCGAACTGTGCCAGCTCTGTAGTTGCCTTAACGTACATCAAATGGTCAGAAAGCTAATAAGATAGCTCACTACTCTGGTGTCCTGGTTCAGCCAGGATAGGGCTAAGTTTCCCCAGCAGTGGGGAGGGAGCTCCAGCCAGGTTATTTGATACCATGCTGACGTCAGGTCCAGGCAGTTTCTGGGATTGCTTTTGTCCCTGACAGTACTGCTGTATCCTTGTGGTATATCTCTGTATATCTCTTGTCCTGTTCATTGTTATTACTGCTTATTGTTATTGCTATCGCTATCATTGTTGTTCAGCTTATTATTTGTAACACTGCTGTATTATATTTTTCCTTATCTCAACCCTGGGGTTTGTATCTCACTCCCTGCCCAGTCCGGTCCGAGGGTGGGTGAGGACAACAGCAACGTGGTCTTGGGTCCCGGCAGGGCCTAAACCACCACACATGGACATCTGTCAGCAATCTTTAGATTTGTCCTCCCTCACTCTTTCTTCAAAGCATCTGGCATCGTGGTACCTGCCTTTCTTACACATAAAGGTCAAAGCATTGTACTTGTGTCTCAGAATCATGGTAAGAAAACACTCTGATTTTGGTGAGCAAATAATTTTTGAAAAGTCTTTCATAGATGGGAAAAAAAGGTAGGGCGTGGAAGGAAGTGGGAAGGAAACTCATTTCAGACAATGAATCCCTCCAGGTACCCCCCCTGGAATTGCAGATAAGTATTCTAAAAAATTATTCAATATCAGCCTTACAGGTAACTTGCATACAAGCAAGGGATACTCTTCTGCTCTTGCATATTCATTTCCCTGGGCACAGGCTGTGCACCTTGCCTGACAGAGTCAGCAGAGCTCTTGCAGCTGAGCTCTTTCTGAAAAGCATTCCCAACAGTTTCACAGGGAGCATCAAGACACGCTTTTACACGGATTTGTTCCTTGATGAAGGTACTTTGACAAAATGAAAATGGTATTACTGGCAGCCAGACACAGCCTTACTAATAGATACAGCTACCCACATTCTAACCTGCCTCAGATCTGGTCAGGTAGACACTATTGAAGTTTCCATCACAGAACACAATGATGAGCTCCATCCCCCTCATCACTATACACTTGACAAGTGGATTTCAGAGAGAGATGCAATTTAGATCCAAGTAGGAAAGGGCACATTTCTAACGGCCTCTATCATTCCTTGCCTATTGTGCCAGCCACACTTCTACTAGGGATGAAATTCCCTGTGGAAATCAGAAGCCTTGCATCAATGAAATAAACTTTACTGTTGCCAATGTTGTATAAATAATGAATAAGAATAGGTTTGTAATATATATATATATATATATATACAAACTAGCTTAATGCTTTTGGTGCAATACACTCAACATACCACTAAACGGTAGGTTTTAAGTCATTGTATCTGAAAGTCATGAACAGTTTCCTAGTCAGTAAATGTTTGAAAATCAAGCTCAGAAATAGGATTTTCCCCACAAGACATTAAACCAAACTTTTAAATGATATTTCTGGCTGATAAATTAAGCTGAGGTTAAGGTGTAGTTTCTGCAGAACACAATATTTGTGAATATATTCCCCTCTCTCCCAGATAAATACATCTTCAGTAGTAATTGTATCAACTCTGAAACCAGAATGTCTCAATCTGAAATTTTAGATTCAGATTTCTTCCGTAACTCATAGCTATCTTTCTGTTACACAGACTTTATTCAACTGCATCATTTCATTTAAGCAGTTTAAGAAAGGCAATTCTTAGAGATATCTTTGTTCATTTTCAGATTATCAGGATGCTGAAATATACAAAAAATCTGTAATATTCCAGAAAAGAATATTTACATTTCAATTTCTACATAAATTGGACAGTCACAAAGGAATTCAGACATGAATTAATCTCCAATAAACAAGGAAGGAAATAAAGCATTATGCTGGAGCACATACTTTCTGAGCTTCAAGTTACAGATTTCAGGCACCAGAAGGATTAAAAAAAGGATATAACTCCTTTGTTCAACAATTCAACTCAGTGAACAGTGGTGGAATAAGCTATTCTTGTCTTAAAGGACAGCAGTGCCTAGCAGAAACACAGCACAGAACCATGCTCAGCTGCAGCAGTGGACAATGCTAACCATAGATCGACACAAATTAGTGGTCAAACCTTCCATTGAACCTGGTCTGACAAGTCCAAATAGTATTCAGCTGTGCAGAAATGGAACTGCCATACCATTACCAATTGCTCTGATATGTAGCACAGTATACCAAGAGATCTCTTGCTTCAGATACATGAGTAAGCTATCCCCAACTTTGCCTTTTTAACTTCTCTTGAAAAAGGTAGAATAACTGGACCCTTCCATACCCTCTTATCTACCACCAAAAAGCCAGTGCCACAAAGTCAGCAGAAGGGGGTACATGCCTTTCCCTCAGTATCTCACTCTGATTCAAGATAAATGTGTTTGAAGAACTGATGAGGACTGCCTTACACTAATGCATCAGATTGTGACCTGCAGCTAAAGCTCAGGCTTGTGTCCACTGCTCACACACAGTCAGTCACCTTCTCATGACGGAGGGGACAGATCTGTAGACAGGTCATGTCTAAAACTACTTCAGGTTTTCCTTCAGTTTCTGCAAGCTGGAGCACTAGGAAGTTACTCGTCTGCCTAAAAATAAACTGGTATTCAAACACTTCATCCCAACTATTAGTAACTGGCTGGACAAGGCCCCTTGGTAGTTCCCTAGACATGGGCCAAGTTTTGAAGGTCAAGGAGAATGGTGAAGACTAGAACCTGGCCAAACTCCTCCAGCACACTGTGGATGAGTATTTGCATTAATGTGTGACCATCTGTGGTATGAGTCTTTTGCTTTTTGACTAGAGTAAAGATAAATAATATAATCTTGAGGAACCAGTGAAAGTCTCTACCCAGACAACTTGCAAGCATAGGCACATTTTGTAAGGTAATTTACACAACCAAGGAATTCTTTTGGTCTCATACAAAAACCTTTCCTGGAAAGGCCATTAACCCAAATTCTGATTCAGAAAAGTTTTAAGAATACCTAAAGAAAATAAATTTATATTTGCATTGGACCATACCAAAGTAGCACCATGTTCATACCAAGTTTTAGTCATATTTTCAAAGTGATGTCTGAGGCATTTCCACTTGAAACAATCCAACATATAAAAAAAAGAAAGACACTGGTCCATAAGACAATCAATAACACCTAGTTCCTTTAAAGATAAATTTAGCATTAAGGAAAACACATCCTGCTTTACAGAATCAGTCTTATTTCTTGGGGAAAAGTAAAATTTAAACAAGAGCTGTGAAATCAGACTAAAAGCGTTCTCCACAGGATTGAAGAAGACTGACCATCCTTTCCACATGGCATTTTTGTTCCATACAGACCAGTAAATTCTTTGATAATGCACCTGCCATTCTTAATCAGAATTTGATCTAAAACATTCATTATGTACCCAAGATTGACTTGACTCATGTCTCAGAGACTGTCTTGAACCTTTCCCTTTGAAGAAGCTAGTGGTATAAAATAACACGGTAAATCTGTTCAGAAAGACAGCAATCTTACTTAACGATTAAACGTACTTCACAGGAAGAGATTCAAGTACTTTTTACCGCTCCTATGATTTAAAGATCTTAATTAACATCAGTTTTATTTCCCAAAGGAAAACAGCTGCTCCTGGTGACAAAACGTTTTTGGAGCTCTCCACAAACTGAAAGCTGAACTGAACAGTATCACATGCACCCATAGCAAAGCTTTCAGAAACCTTTCACGAGGGAAAGAAAAAGGAAAAAGCAGCTTTAACTGGATAAGACTGAAGGGTGAACGGGTCAGTAACTGCTCTATACAGTAGAACACAGAGCTTGCAGATACACAAATCACTACAGGGACTCCTTCAGAGCCCTGGAAACACTAACACTAGGCAGCACAAATTCTAAAGATTTTGAGCTTCTCTCCTGGATGCAAGGTGTTTCGTTGCATTAGAATTTAAATCACAGAAGAAATAATTCTTAGTTCAACTTTTATATACATATAAACAAGAACAGATTGTATTTCCTGACCTTATATGGACTTACATCTCCCAAGTAATGCTAAAAGAATGTGAAAATTACCATGTAGTCTATATAGAACTCTATTGCCAAAAAATTTAACCAAATAATCCTTAACATAAAACTAAATGTATGGAACAGATTTAAAAAAAAAAAATCTACTTCTAACCAGAATTTTTAAATAGAATTGCTTAGAGTTCTAGTGCAAAGTTTCATAGTCAGATAAACACTATCATTTAAAAAAAAGACCAAGACTGAATTTCTGCTCTTGCATTTCACTGACACATGAAAGGGATAAGAGAAACAATCAGATAAAAATATATATAGCTTTTACAGACACTTACTTGAATGGTGTGAACAGAAATGAAAGTGTAGTTTCCTTTTTATGACTCATCTTAACCTGTAATGATTTAAAAAAATCATTAAACCATTATATGCAAGTTGCAACAAGACTAAAAATTGTATCAGGAATTAAACTAAAAATCACAGAACAGTTCTAAGACTTTGGAAAAGGAATGAAATCACACTGTCAATATACTGTCCAAAAACCTGGGTGTTATACTCCCATATGTGTAACTCCTTTGAATTCCTAGAAACCCATACCTGCTCTAAAGTAGGTAAAACAAACCACTACCCAGCCAGTGATTTTCACAGAAGGACTTCTACAATTTGCAGGATGAAGGGAAGATACAGCTAGAAGTGTTACCAGACTTCAGTGACAATTCTTCTGGATGAAACTGGTACTATTTATGCCAGACGGGAACTAGTACACTGCAGCAACACTGCCCAGGCAATGTTGTTAGATCAATTAACCTGCACATGTGTAAAAATAGGTTTTGATGCAGACACTTGCCCAAGGCCCTTCAGAACATCTTAAAGGTCACCTGCAGCAGCCTGACTCAAACGTGACTGTCAGCATAAAGTGCAGACAGGAACTTTCTAAGTGTACTGCTCCCAAAATCTGACAGCTTGAAGTAGCAACCTGCGTGTCTCATCCTAGCCATCCAAGGCAACATCCTCTCCAGGGAGTACAAACTGTGGTCGAGTCAGTCCATCAGAGGAAAAGTAAAAAACCACTTGGCATGTCTAAGCCAATGTGCTACTTCTGCTTCAGCAGAGAAATGCAAAGGAAATTCACACACAATCCCTCCAAAACAATGTTACAAACAAGCCAGGCAACAAGAAAACAGATAATTTAGCACTAGAGGATGACAAAATAAAAATAAACACAAAGAAAAGTAGGACCAGAGCTTTTTAAAATAATGCCTAAGACACCAATTTAACTGAGCTACATGCTTAATTCTTAGTGCACAGGTCCTCCAACTGTGGAGGTTATACCAGCATGCTTCAACTTCACAGCTAGCCAGCCAGTCACTTCCCCTGATACATGACAGCTTTCCACCACACATTTGGAAGTGACTCTGCTGCTGACACTGACAACCTGGGATTTTTGCTTTTGGGTCTGTTTCTTATTCCATAGTTGAAAAGCATCTAGTGAAACATAACTCTTCTGTTGGGACCACATATGTGTTCTCATAATATGATAATATCTGATATTAGATGAATCAAGACAGAGAAACCAGAGATGAACACTTGCAGAGCAAAACCACAGATATGACAGCATTAGCTAAAAGTTAATTAGGCTACTAATTTCATTTCTTTAATGGACATGTGCCTGTTACCTTTTTGATCTGTTTGTGTACCGATCCTGACTTAGAGCCTTGTCTCCCAGCCCCTGTTGCAAAGGCAAGATTTCCCATTCTGGGTATCAGAACTCAGATTCTACCTGCATAGTGCAAGTAGGTTTACATTAATATTGATAAACATCAAAAGAATAAAGAAAAAAGTTACGCGTTCTCCTTATAAAAAAGGTGTTTATTAAAGTCTTTCAAATTCCTTCAGCTCACAATCAACATTGCCCAATATGTGCATTCATTTTAGTCCTTTGAATTACAGCATGCTATATACAGCACATGTCCTATTATAATTATTTCACACATAGCAACAACTATTATTCAAAGAAATACCTTTCTTTACCATATGTTTAGTTACCTTAAATTGCTCAAGAATCTGAACAGCATTGGTAAACATGCTCTCAGCTTTGAAATGAGCACTGTTGTTCAGATATTCCAGAGGCAGAGTTCCCTGAGGAAGAAAAATACATATATACATTAAACAAATTAAACAGAGAAACAGGAATTTTTCTAACTGAATCGCAGGCCAAATAAGCAGTAAGAATACTTCAAATTACTGCTGAAATAACTACTGTAACTCCTCTGAAAATACTCTTTGCACATAACTTCTCAACATCACATGGACTGTTTATAATATCCCAGCTCCTACAGGAATGCAAAAAAGGTAAATAACAAAAGTTGTTATTGAACTATATACTAATACAACCTCAACCACTAACCAGAAGTCATTTTGAAATACCTAAAAGTCTTCCATCCAAAGCCTTACCTGGGCCTGACTTACCCAGTACCAAAGTTCCCATGCCACCCTATGTTGGGCAGCTTTAGCAATGAGTGCAGGACACAGGTACAGAATTTGGAGCAGAGTCTCCAAAAGAAATATTTTGAAAAAATGTGCTGTAAATAGGTGCTTTAAATGTGAAATAAGCAGCATGAATGCACACTAATGTAATGCTAATTGTCAATTAGACATTTATGAGAGAACCTTTGGACTATGTAATAGTATATGAAAGAAATTCAAAGAAAAAGCCATCTCACAGTGAGGGCACTCACTGTTCACTAAATTAGAGCAAAAGATACCATCTGAAGAAAGTACATTAGCTAAAACAAGAAATAATTAAACATTAAATTTCAGGAAGCAGCTTGTTTACAATCTCAGCTTTCATGAACAAAATCAAGTGTTATGCAAACCATATTGCATTTTTACCATTCCTAAAAAAAGTAACAAAAAACTTTCATGTAGCTCAAGAGTATAAAGATTATAAAAGGATCGGCCGCCTTTCCAATTGAAAGCACTATTCAATGTATAAAAAGATTGAGTTTATACTCTAAACTGAAGACACATACACATAATGCTAAAACTACAAGCAGTCTTCATAACCTATAGCACTTTCCCAAAACTATAATCTTTCCCTTCAAATGCCTCAAAGTCTTGTCCCCAACATCTCTTCCTCTATGGTGAGTAGAGTTCTACAATATGGAAAGACATTTGTAGTTCTTACCACAGAATTTAGGGGAAAAGGTACACCAATAAGGGAAGCCATCAGTGGTGCTATATCAGCCTGTGGAAACAGAAGCATTCCCATTTTAATATAACTCTGGCCTCTAGAGCTAATAAATTCAGTTTAATTTTAATGTATCTGCATTTGCAAAGGTAAATGGTACGATACTGTGAAGCTATAACATACAACTCTCCTTTATAATATGTTTTTTTTTTAGTTTCCATTCATGGCATGATAAGATTCAAAATGTGAAGCTCTGCTACTGATAAAGCTTAAAAAATACATTTAGTTAAAAAAGCAAATATAAACCTCCACAGTATTTATTCACAGGAACTCAGTACCTCTTTCACTGCACTCAAGAGTGGCATACCACTTTTTATGACTATACCACAGGAAGAACTAATTTCATATTTAAAGTTTTAAGCAGTACATTGAGTATACAGCTCTTCACAGTACTCCTTATCCCATGTTTCCACAGTGCCAGTTGCTCACCTTCTCCCATTCAGAGGAACATTCTGCACTTTTATTTGTGTCCAGTCAGCCCTCAAGGTGACCTTTCAATCTACACCTACTTGCGATGATAAACATTGCCTCTCATTAGGTTTATATTTTCCTTTAATATAAAACTATGCATCAAAATTCTTTGTTTCTCCAGCATAAATCTGAAGAAACTACATTGAAACCAGAGGCACTGCTCCAGCCTCAGACCTGAAGCAGACTCCAAATCATTATTTGCAGAGGATAATATACATGTAGTGTTAAAGCAAACAGAAGTCTAGTTTGTTATTTTTACCTCCCACATGTACAACAGGACAAAAGCTCTGTCTTTGGGGACTCCATTACCCAGAACAAAGCAACATAGAGACTCTTCTATACAGTCTCAAAATAACATTCCTGTAACTCCTGCCAACCTTGAGAGAAAAACTGATCTCTAATTTTGTACCAAGGCTTTGCTGAATGCAGTTGATCAAGAATATTCCCAACTTCAACCTTCTAGCATGAGTTTATTTCCCTTATATGAGCAGGTTTGGAGTCTGTTATTCATATATTGGGTTTCATAGGATAATAGGAAGTAAGAAGCAAACAAGCTTCAGGTGCACATATGTACACGTCTTATCATCATGATTTAAAAAACTTTGGCTGATTTAGCATCAAGACTTAAATCATCCACATTTTCTTCTTCCCTTACAGCACAAATTGTCTAAATTGCTAAGTGTCTAGGCCATAATCACAGACCTTGTTGAAAAAAAAACAGAGTTTAACACTATAGCAAGAATTGGTTTTGATTCAGTAATGACAGTATCTTCTGAAAAAAGTGTCAGAATAGAGACTTTGAAATAGATATCTCTGAAAAAACTAAACTCAACATACACTTCTAAAGCGTAGCAAAAAGCATACAGCAGATGCTCACAGACTTAGAAAACATGGTCATCAGACCATGCCTTCTTTGTGTTTTGCTGGGCACCTTCATAGGAGATACCAAGGAGGTGTAAACTCAGCTCCAGAACATTTTCAAAGCAGAAAGTAAAGGGAAAGCATCACAAGTTAGTTCTAAAGGTCTGCAAAACCAAATCCCACTCTGAAAACATATGAGATGCTATTCAAGTTACTTTTGGGTACCTGGCATATTGTACTGTATTCTTTCTACAATGGCATATGATTACTTAACTAAAAATGGTGTGATAATGCATCTTCAGGAATTGTACGCAGCTGCCACATGTTAAAAACTAATTTAAACCTTTTTGTATTATGTTCAGTATAGGTGCAGTTCCTGCAACTCAAACTTCTGAGTAATACACTGCAGGGAAATGCTACGTCAGTGTGATCATTCATTCAAATTCAATAAATTATTTTAAATCACACAAACCTCATAATTTAAGGTGAAAATTTATGTGCTATTAAATTAGGTATATTTGATACCTGATTGACATCCAGCCTCTTCAAGTTCTCCAGTTTCCATTCTGCAAGAAAAAACAGAACACATGAACAGCTAATCTACGCAGATCTGAAAGGGATAATTCAGTTGACATTTAATGTCTTGTTGCCATTTTCTGTAAAGTATTGTTACTAAAGAAAATTATGATTTGGTTTTAGGATGCTAGCTCAAGAGGGCTTACAGATGGAACTCAACATGCAATACCAAGAAAATGCATTTATTTCAGCTCACATTTTCTTTTATCCATCAGGATAAATTGCTGCCTGCAATTGTGACCCATATCAGCTGAAGAATGTCCAAGGTTTTTATTTTTTTCAGCACAGTATAGAAAGTGATGCATTACCTCCTGTGCTAATTAAAAGTTCTAAACTCAGGTTCAGAGTAAAGGCTGTTAAATCTCCTCAGCAGTTTTTAAAAAAGGTTAACCCAAGGTCCCAAATATCCTGGTACAGAGTGGTACAAACATACTTCATGTCTGCCATAAGCAATACTGGCCAAGAGTGAACTCAGATGAAAAGTTCAATGATTTTGCAATTAGAACAACTACAATGAAGGCAGAGACAGAGTCAAATGTACAAGCTCCTAAAGCTGTGGTGCACCATATGAAAAGCTAGCTGAAAACTGTATTTTCCTGATCTCCCTTAGCCTCTAAGGAAATAAAGAAGAAATTGACTTTTTTGAGGGTAGAGAGTTATTTAAAACCAGACTTAGTAGGGTTTGTTGGGGTTTGTTTTCCATGTCTTCTTTTCCTAATGTTTAAATTTGTTGCCCCCTACCAACAGCAATAATATGAGAGGAAAACAAAAAAAACACACAACAAAAAATCCCACCTCAAACACCCAGAAAAGATGACACACAGCTTGCTTTTTTTTTTTTTAATTAAATTCAAGCTTAAAAGAAATCAGATACACAGTAAAACATGATAGGGGCTGAAACAGACTTGCTGATACAGTACTTAAAATACTGTCAATGACCTACCTAGAGCACATGTCAAATACAGCAGTAAAGATGTTGGGGCCACCTACCCTCAACTTAGGAATCAATGTTAGCAATGGGAGCACAGCCACTTTCCTCAGTACACAGATTTCTACCTGGGCCAGTCACCTCCTTGCTAAGGTTGCTTGCTGAAATAACACCGCAGAAACACCACAGACAGAAGCAGGACACCACCTAGCACCTCAAAACATTGATGTTGTAGCCACATTGCCCAAAAGTATCCTTTAGCTTTATGTGAAGTGGAAGTTTAAATGCACCAGAAACAGGCTTCATGAAAAATGCCCATAAACCATCACTCAACCGCATTTATTTTCTCCAAACAGGCATTCAAATCCTACACCGTACAACCCTTTCTCCAGTTTTCGATGCACACTGTCTGTGCGAGACCCAACACTGTCTCAGCTGAAAACAGCCTGAGGACAGGAAATATCCATATTTGCAGCATTACATGTACCAAACTTATCTTCAGCAATCAGTTCATACCACTGCTAGCTTCAGGGGTTTGAATACAAGTCCGCTGTTATTTGGTCCCAGGAGCACACAGAAGAGCAGCCATGTACCTTAACAGCAGCGAGACATACGGTTACAGCGAGTTCCCATGGCAACAACAGGGGAAGTATTACCATCATTAATCATGAATTGTGTTAAACTTACACTAAAATGAACAACTTTGCTTCTTTTGCTTCCCAGAAAAGGAAATGGGTTTATATTTCTAGAGATATAGACCTGTATTTGTATTACATAAATGCATTGTTTGCTTTTCGTTAAATAACATTTTCCAGTGAAAAATGTTGGAAAATTCTCTACACGCACACTCAGTGTGCTTAAGATAGGAAGAAACTGTAGCTCTGTGTCATGGTTTAACCCCAGCTGGCAATTAAGCACCAAACAGTTGCTCCCTTACTCTCCCCACAGTGGGATAGAGGAGAGGATCAGAAAAAAAAAAAAGTTAAAACTCATGAGTTGAAATAAAGGCAGTTTAATAGCACAGAAAAGGAAGGGAAAATAATACTACTACTAAGATAATGTACAAAACAACTGATGCACAATACAATTGCTCACCACTTGCTGAACGATGCCCAGCCAATCCCCAAGCTGTGGGACACCCCAGCCAGATACCCCCACTTTATATACTGAGCACAACATCATATGGTATGGAATACCGCTTTGGCACATTTGGGTCAGCTGTCCTTGCTGTGTCCCCTCCTCTCAGCCTCTCATGCACCCCCAGCCTCCACTGGCAGGGCAGTGTGAGAAGCTGAAAAGTTCTTGACTTAGTGTAAACCCTGCTTAGCAACAAATAAAACATCAGTGTATAATCACAGGGCAAATAAGGAGGTGATTGGTGATAGTAAACATGGCTCCACTAAGGGCAAATCATGCCTGACAAATGTGGTGGCCTCCAACAATGGGGGTTACAGTGCTGATGGATAAGGGAAGAGCAACTGACATCATCTACCTGGACATCTGAAGCTGTCCCACACACCATCCTTGTCTCTAAATTGGAGAGACGTGGATTTAATAGACAGTGGATAAAGAATTGGCTGGATGGTCACATTAAAAGAGTTGCAGTGAATGGCTCAATGTCCAAGTGGAGACACTTCCAACCCAACTCACTATGATTTTATGATCAACGCTATTCTCATCCTAAATCCAAAACACAGCACTATACCAGCTACTAGGAAGAAAATTAACTTTATTTCAGATGAAACCAGGGCACTCTGCTAGAGAAACACTAGCTTTGTCAAAAGCTTTTACACCTCTGCTTCCCCTACTCAGACATTCCCAAAAGGCAGAGATGAAGACACCTGCCTTGGACCAGGAACCATAAGACACTGAGCCCATGAGCTCCTGAGGACTGGGACACACCTGCAGACCAGCCAGTCTGGGCTGTACTCCTGGGAGTGAGGCACCTGGGGTGTATGTGCTGCCCACATTGATTTATGATTCTTGCTCAGTTTAGGTTTCCAGTACAGTGCTCAGCACAGGTTTCCACCTGCTTGATAGGACTTTTTTCCCCTTTACGCTGCTGTGCTTTTACTGCAGCCTACTGGGCTGACAGATGCGAACAGTCCAGGAAAGCATCGGTTCAAGGACAGGCTGAGGATGAGGCTACATGAATCAAAAAAACCAAAAACAAAACCTCACAGAAGCAAAAGCAGTGAAGGGGTACACTGAGATCCCTCAGTCATGGCAAAGCAGGCTCCAAAACAGGGACCTATATCAGTGAAAACAACTATCCCACATCCTGCTGCAGAAGGCTGTGCCTTCACTTACAAGCTTCTCTGGACTTGTGCCCAAGACCATCCACAGCATGTGCTGAGGAGCAGAAAAGCAGCTCTATATTCTCTTTCTTTCTGAAGAATGGTCAAGCCAATGGCCAAACGGGTAATACTACATGTCCACAGGATGCAGGGCTGCCATCACAAATGTTTCCAAGGTGATTGCATGGCCAGGCCTGAGGGAAGGCAGGGCACAGGTGAAGGGACTGAGAAGGCTGTCATCCCAGAGCACACACTGTGCCCTTCCAGCCGTATAAGAAGTGCCTTAAACTTTCTATCACAGATCAGAAACAGTAAGTCCTGCCTGTTGGCACTGCCTCTGGGGGTATTGACCCTCAATGTCAATGATAAGAGAGAAAATTGACTAAGCTGCTTACAGCCTACTTGTACTGAACAGAGCATAAGAAGTTGGTCAGCATTAGAAATATTCTGCTGTTTCCATGAACTCTTAACTCAGAGAAATTAGGAAGGGTTGTCAATAGATGCAAGAACTTGAACACTGGTGCATGCAATCACAAATGCAAGTCGGACACCGGCATACATCAGTGACACTGCAATTTTGAAAACATTCTCCTCTCCTGAACACAGTCTCAGCTGCATTTGTACGAAGGAGGAAAGGCAAATTCAGAACTTTTCAAGAGACCTCTTTTAATCATCTTTCTTTTCATATGTTGTCTTTGTGTAGCTGAACTGTATTGACTCAAAAGTGCAAAGTTCCAATTCAACAAGTTTTTTCTGTACTTTTAAGGAATATAGACTACTAGAAGCTATAATGTAGCACCATAGAGAAAATAGTTGCTTTTTAAGAAGATACTTATTACTCAAATAGAGATTCAAATTCCCAAGATACTCAGAGAGATTCAACTCTCCTGGCAATTAAGAACCTGTAAAGATAGTGTCTAAACAGACCAACAACATGCTCACCAGCTGGAAAGCTGCAGAGCAAGTCCAGAACAAAGGGAGGAGTTTCTGATGTTTGCTTTGGGGTGTTTTGTTTTTTGTCTGGTTGTTAGTTCGGGCTTTTTTTAAATCATCAGAAGGAAAATATGAAGCAGGCACCGCAGGGTGCAGACATATTCCCTCCTTTAAGAAAATATACATTTGATAATGGATGACAGCCAAAAGGCTTTCCCTACTGTGTACCTGGAAGTCAGCTCAATACTCACTTTTTTTGAAATGCTCTCGCACCATTTTTATCATTACTTGAAGTCAAACACTAAGGTTTGTACTAAAGCTGGTGAGAATCAAGGAAACTGACAGCTGTAAAAATCAACTATTACAGATCAGCCCTTAGAGACATCAAGTGTCCTTAGAAATCTAGCAGATCAGCCATCACAGACACCAAAATCAGTTGATTTTACTGTTTTATATTTTTTATTCTACAAATCATTTTCAATTTTATTAGAGATGTCACAGTTTTATAGCAGCAGTTAATCCCAAAGAGTGAACGTTAGCATGGTCTGTATCTGAGAAGTCCTGTTTGTTACCTTCTCAAGAGCAGGGTTGAAGTAATTTTTGCCTATTTTCTCTTCTCTAGTGTAGTTTGACAAACAATTCAGTAAAGTCACTACCTCATTGATAGTGAGTAACAACGTGAGAGATTCAAGGCATCTTATGAAACAGAGCAGGCTACAAGAATGGGGCACATGAAAGAAGAGCTTGCATAATTTGATCACACATAGTTCTAGAAATCCACTGATATTTCAGAAACCCAGTATTTGTTACACTATATATTTGAAATACTAAAAATTATTTTTTTAAAACTTTACTCTTCTTAAATAAATTACAAAGGGGGAAAACAACAGTAAAGAGTCATATTTTTTCATTGAGAAAGACTTTACATTTCCACAACAGCTACAAGGATGCAACCGAGACAAGACAGCCCCTGGAAAGTCCCCAGGGTTGTACTGTGAAGCTAGAAAAGTCTTAGGACATGCCAACTTCTTATGTTTCTGTACAAATACCTTTTAACCCCTGGGAGTCTTCCTAAGAATTAAGTCTCCTCTGGAACTAAATTTTAGGAGTGTGAGTAGCCTCCTGTACCCACAAAGTCCTCAATTCCATGATTAGAAAAGAAAACTGACTCTTGATATTATCTAGCTAATTTTGCAATATCCTCCATGTCACCTTTTCTTTCCACACCACACAAAAAAAGTCATATTTACTGTAATGGAACAGAAGTCAGTGAAGATCAACAGGTGTGATGATAAAACATCTCCCTTTCCACCAAAATCTTGCACCTAAGTTTTATGTTTTACCTACCTTGCAAAAAATTGTCTTCAAAGAACTGGGATGTGACTTTCTGTGGATAATTCACCCCGGCACCCCAAACAATCAGTGGTGTTAAAGTTTCTGAGGGATGACCAGCTCCATGAGTTCCTAAGATAAACCAAACCAAAAAAAGTATAAAAATTTTTAGACACACGGTATAAAAACAAACAAAACCTATATATGCATTGCACACATGTACTAAGTTCTTGTTGCAGTATACATACTAAAATCCTGTTACAGGTAATCTATTTCAGCTTCACAGCTTATTTGTATATCACTAACAATGAAGGCTAAATTCAAGTTGCAAGTTGGGCAATCAGTACCACTTAAGTCAAGCCTATCAAGATATAATGGCATATTAAAAACCGCAAACTGTTAACATACAGAAACTAAAGCCAAAGTATTTGAAAGCCTCAAGGTGTAGTGGAGTTACCTGCTCAAAACATGTGCCTATCCTGAGCATCCCCTGGAAACCACGGATGGCTGATCTGTGTAAAATTAGGTGTTTGCCCAAAAAATCATATAGAACTGAGCTCTGAACCCCAAATAAAGATTAGACTTCCATCTCAAAACCAGGAGACAATATGCACTGCAACTGTTATCACTGCCCCAGTGATAGAAGTTCATTTTTAAGGTTTTAAAGCCTGGTAGCAGACTCAAAAATTGATAAAACATTACTTTGTTACCATAGATCAGGCACCAAAAGGAGGAAGCTTTGAAACTGTGACACCTCAACAGAAGCTGTACTGAAGCAGATGTTAAAATGTTAATCATTGAACTCTGTGGGTGAGGTACCACAGCAATGATATAACCCAGTCTCAAAGGGAATGTCATTGTTACACAAACTCTATGCTGGTCACTGCATGGTCTACAAGATTATAAACTTTCCTTGCATCTGTAGACATACACTCTTCCCTCTGTGTGTGTATATATATATATTTTAAGAATTATGAAGGATAGAGAATAACACATTGCTTTAGGGAGAGCTTTTTTTTTAAAAAAAAAAACAACCAACCATTATAAAATTGGGTATGAAATTGGGAATAGCATTGAGGCTGTACAACAATCATCATGGCAGAGCTGAAGAGACAGCCTTGCTTCTTTTAAACTGTCCTAAACTTAACATACAAGTTTGGGAGTAAGATTTCAGATGTTCAGAAATCTCTTGAAAGGCACTATCTGGGCTCAAAAGCAGTAACAAGTGCTCTTTGCCAGAGCCTGGGACAAAAGCAGATAGAGAGAGTGCTTCCTCCACCTTCCAGACATCAGTTATTTCTTTTTATTACAGAAGGAAAGTACAAATTTTGGTGAGCTTTCATTTTAGTGTAGTCACCAGCACCATCAGCATTTTACTGAGACTGTCTCCATGAATACTTCAAGGCAGATAAAGCTGAGAGAGGCAGCTGTACCCACCCTCCTCCTGTTATAAAAAACAGATTTCAGCCTGATCTGAATTATAATGGGGGGGAATCTGATTTTCAGCTGGGTGAGTTCCCGGCTCTACACCTCAGCAACATCCAAATAGGGGAAAGGGCAGGAAAGGCTGCTGTTCTTTAGTTTTCTGTTGTCTGGTTAAGTGTACCACATAGCAGTACTTGTGTTACTGTGTGGTACAGGATGGCAGCAGGTAGAGGTGGACAACATGGGGGACCACCCATGCTGGTGGTCAGCAGTTCCACCTGAGATCTGCTTAAAGCAAAATCATAGAGTCAGACTGAGAAAGCAAGTGATTTTATTGGTCTTTGCCACCAACCACAGTTTCTTTCATTATGTCAAGTTCAGAACATGTTCTCTTCCCTAATAGGTACCCCACTGCCCTATGAATTTTTCATTTAAAACTGGTGCATATATCATTCTGCAAACAACCACTGAAAGACTGCAGCAGTTGCTGATACTACAAGCTCAAATAAAAAGCTACTGAACTAGCCTTCAGACCTTGGGCTATGGGCCTGAGCATCATCTCTGGGTTTGCTCTTGGACTCAGTAATGTCAGTTTCAACGTTATTAAGACTTCTGGCAGAAGATTAAACTTTTTCTTCAAGACAAGAGATGACAGAAAACTATGACAGACCAGTGCTTCTCAAAGCCTGAAGAGTTACTCCTATCACTTTTTATTTCCCCTTCAAACGATTTAGAACATAATGAGAACACACCAACAGCACACTCTGTCAGTAAGGAAGGCCAACAGCACCCCAGGAGCTGGTCTAGGAAAGGGATTATCCTGCTCTACTCAGTACCTGTGAGACAATCTTTAAACACTGGATCCAGTTTTGGGCACCTCCAGTACAAGAAAGACTTCAACCATCTGAAATCATCTCAGTGGGGAACCCCCAAATTGGTCAGGGGAGCACTTTTCCTATGAGGAGAGGCTGAGGGACTGGGACCTGTTCAGCCTGGAGAAGAAATGGCTTTCGGGCAGTCTTAACAGAACATCCTGCCTGTACCCCACTGTGAAGGGGTTTGAGAGAATGGAGCCAGGATCTCACTGCAGTGTATGGTGGGAGGATGAGAGAGAAGAGGCATAAGTTGAAACAAAGGAGGTTCAGATTGCAGATAAAGAAAACCTCTTCCCCTCCGTGAATGCAGGCAAGCAGCGGAACGTCGTGTAAGTTCCATCCTTTGAGGTTGTAAAGGCCTGGCTAGATAAAGCTCAAGCAACTGTGTCTGATCCCAAAGTTAATCCTGTTTTGAGTAGGTGGCTGGACCTCCTGAGGCCCCTATGATTATACACCACATATAAATAAAATATATGAACCTCCCTTATAAAAAATTATCAAGTGATTTATTGAAACAGACAAAAAAATATATGCCACAATTAAAATTTTATTGTGTCAGTCAGCTTAACAGTAAATAATATTCAAAACAGACTATTTTGCAAATGAGCAGATCGTAATCAGGCTCATTTTGAATAGGCAGGCAAGTATTTTTGTCATCTCTGATGACAGAAAAAGTCTGCATCCCTTCCATTTAAAAAGTTTAGGATTCCACATACAGAGTAAGATGCTGAATTTTGCCAAGACCGCAACTGAAGCATCCTTGGTTCAAAAGTGTCACAGTTAGGATGTGATACTGCACACACACAGAGTATTGGAAGAGAGATTTATCACTTTCATTGGCTGCACACCAGGACAGGAGCGTTCTTAAAATTCTTGAAATAAACAGAGAAAAGAAAAAAAAAACCATCTAAACGAGTTCACCACCATAAACTCCTCATCTGCCCTTAATCTTGTTATGGCAAAACTGTCTCAAGTCATTTGGCCACTGTGGTCATGCCCTTCAGAAGTGGCCTCTGTGAGTTCCAGCCTGGTCACCACCTGCTGCACTCTCATTTCTGTACACTCAGCTGCTCCACATAGTCTCCAGCACCAGCCTCCTCTATAATGATCACACAGCAGTCCCATCCCTTTCTGCTGTGGCTAAAAGGTGAAACCAAGCAACATTATATCCTCCAAAAAGTTTTTCAACAGCTCCTGAACAGATCTGCCACCTTTTCCAGGTGCCACAGAGCACCAAAGTGAAAACTGTATCTCCCACATGGGTGGGAACAAGACCAGTCTTGCTGTTGGCAGCCAAATAACACCATCTCCTCCTGCCTGCGCTAGTTTTCTGGAGGGAAGCTCTAACAGAACTGGTATTCAGGTCTTTTTATTCCTACTAGCAGCCACTAAGAGAGTTAAACTTTACCTTATTAATTTTCTTTTTTCTGTCCAGATATGCAACAGCTGTCACAGGGCTGATGAGGGCCCCTGCAGACAATTAACCATTTCCTGATTTGCACGGGTTTCCTATACAAGCAACACTTAAGATACCAGGTCTCTTGAGCCTCTAATGGGACAGTTACTCATAAACTCAGCTGACTCAATGTTTAAAAAGACTCACCCCAATCTGTCATTCCATGGTCAGAAGTTAGAATAAATGCAGTTTTCCCATCATTTCCATAGAAATTGTCAATCATCAAAGCTATTTCTTTTACACCCTCATCAACTTTTTTAATATTCTCCTTGTATTCCCTAGAAAAATAAGAAAAAAAAATGTTTTCAGATTTGAGGTGTCTTTCACATTTGGTATAAAGCAAGTTATCCATGGTCATAATACCCAGTCCTTTGATTAGACAGCCTTATCCTCTACAAAACCTCAAACTAACAAAAGGCATCCTAGATGTAAAAATCTCTCCTCCTCTAAGTCTTACCTGAGATACTAAATTTTCACAGCACAGTTAGAAGATTCCTGAGACTACAGACTCAAATGCATATTTATTTATATTTTAAATCTTATCTATCCTTGATTGAAGACTATAATTTAACCACCCACAGCTATTGAGAATGCCAAAACTAAGGATTTCTGGAAAACTCTACCTTAAGTTGTAAGTTTCAGAAATTTCTTTACAGCAGTAACTAAACAACAAAAAGATCTCAGCATGCAGGGACTGTTTTGAGATGATTCACACATCAGCACAGATCCCAGAGTTTTGTGGAACAGAGGCTAAACCAAAATTTGTATATTTTTAGAAAAAGTAACCATAATTAACTTTCAGCCAACTAATTTTCTATTTGCTGGTATTGCTAAAGTCAATTTTAAAACTCTATCTTCAAAAAATCATAATAAAAAGAGACATAGACCAAGTATGAACTTTGGAATTATGTAGGAAATAAGAGCAAGGGGTTTGAAAGTATGCAAGGATCAAGAGAAAGACATAATATCCTTATCCATAAATACATTCAAAGCACATGAGGAAACGAAAATAAAGTTCTCAAATAACACATTTCAGGATGAACTGGTGATGAGTACTGTTAATCAAAACTCTTCTCTTTGTCCTAAGAAAATCTAAAACAATTCTGGAATTTGCAGCCATTATTTCTAAAATTACTGTTGTGTATAAATTCAACCATACCACTTTGGCCACAGGGAATCTGAGAACTGTTTCCATTTTATATCTAAAACTGCAATTTCCTACATATCCTCTAGATTATGTGTTGACTACAACTAAGATGATCTGCTAAGAATCAGACTGGACTACAGGAGTATAACCAGGCATGCTGTATGCAGCAAAAATCCGCCACTTCTCAGAGAAGACCTTAAAAAAACCCTCCACAAAATTCAGAATGTAAGTAACCATGGTGACATGTATGACCTACTTTAGAAACCCTCAAGACTACAAATCTTGTTTCAGGCTTGATAAATAGCACTGTTAAAAAGTTATTGTATGCATTTAAAACTACAATAAAGATATGCTTAAAATCTCTCAATTACCTTGAGTTTGGCCGATGAGCATGTCCATTTGTGTCTATGCCTAGCAAATGCAGGAACAGAATCACTTTGTCTTCATTCAGTGCAGAGAACAATGTTTGATTACTTCTGGAAGAATTAAAGAAGCTCTGTATGGAATAAGCCATTAAGATATTAATCCGAGTACAATGGAAAAAGATGATAGGCAGCCTATCAAAACTAAACTGCAGCTGTTTTCATGTCAAAACACTAGCAGTTATTAGAGTTATAAAAGAGAAAAATTAATTACTTCCCAATTTACTTGAAGGATAACTACCATCAGTATAGTCAGCCCACAGTTTCAGCTTATCTAAGGCAACACTCCTCAAAGCTGGGGGGGGTCTTTGTTGTTTGGGGTTTTGTTTTGGGGTTTTTTGGTTTGTTTTGTTTGGCCTTTTGAGTTTCTTTAGGAAGAAATACCAGATCCCTGCTTTGGCTCCTGTATAATCTCAACGATGAACCATGCCTAAGCACCACTTATGGCTTTAAATTTCCATTGATTTATTGATTTCAAGCTGGAAGGAAAGGTCTGAAATATTCTTGCTTTGGAAGCAGGTTCTGCAGAACTGAGATACTAAGCTACAACTTGTTTGCAGAAACTAAATTAAAACACAACAAAACAAGACATGCTTTGCAAATACCTGAACTAAATAATATACTTCTGCTTGCACATGTCCTACTTCAGCATCCCTGAAGCAGATGTCAGGGGGGATTTTTCCCTCAGATTGAATGAGTCTTGAGATGGCTCATATGGTCACATTACAGCAATGCAAAATGCAGGCAGACAGCTATTCCAACATGATCCCCTTAGTAACAGCACTGCCCAAGGAAACAAAGCTGGGTAGGGTTTTAGTTCAAAGAGCATCCAAGAGAACCTTTCAGTACACTAATATAAACAAAAGTATCTTTGAATTTCAAACAAGACTCCAGGTAAAATGCTGGTAGAGCCAGTGAACCATTTTAGCACTCCACCACACACCTGTGACAGTGGTGGAGCTCTTAAAAACTAAAGTTCACACCTTGTGTAAACACAAGACACTGTACCCAGAGGAAGACCAAACTGGCAGCAAGAGTATCATAGTATGCCATGTCAGGAAACCACAGCAGTAAGCAATATCACCTTTTTTTCTCCCTGAATATCCACAAGCCACATGGACTAATATTTGCATGCTCTCAGCTTCAGCTCTTGTCCAAACAAAATCATGACCAAAGTCCAGAGATATTTTAAATAAAGACACAAGAACAAAATCTGATTACATTCCATAGCAATATAATTATTTTTTTAATGGAGATTTCCATTTCTCACAGGGGTCCATCTATCCGCACATATTTGACCACAGACTGAAGAAGCTTTCCAGAGCACACTAGTAATTTGCACTATATAGTATAATTCTGTTTTCTTATTTTTAATTAAATAGGAAAAAACATACCAAAACAAACAGGAAACTCTGAAAATTAAATCCTAAAATGTAGATCCGTATTAGAAAGCAGGTATTTTTCTATCACAGACTGATTAAGCAAAAGAAGCCACTGTGAGGAAGGCAGGGCCTGAGCTTCCCTCCCACCAGACAAGTCCCCATGACGTTCCAAAACCACCCCACTCTCCCAGCCCCAGACACCTTGTAACTCAGAGCAGGAGCAGCCAGCAGAGCTTGCCCAACCTCTGCCTAAATAAGAAGGAGATGACAAAAGGAAGATGAGTGTAACCTAAGATGTGGCATCTTTTCTCAGAGCAAATACCAAACTTTGTCTGATGGAACATTTTTTTAAAAATAGTATACTGAAAAAAAACAAATTAGGAAGTTCACCACAAGGAGTTCCTTAGTCTGATAAAGGTGGTGAGTTGGTAAGCAGGACACCAAACAGTAGGGGCAAAACCCACTTCACCCTGCGCTGGTGGTTGCTGAACTGTTTGCCCAGCACTATCCTTGTATCTCTTTGTAGCCTGCTAAAGGCCTTTTTTTGGTACTCAATATTCACAGAACTTGAGGCCTACCACCACTCAACACCCGTTTCCAAGCCACCATTATATGTTAACTATCTGTCTCTTTTTTTCTGTTGTTTCCCTTTGATTTGCTTTATTCAGTAATACTACCTCCCTTGTATACTTAAGCCAAATGACATCAAGAAGTTTCAGGGATGGGAGTAAACAACAAAGTGCTGCGAGAACTCAGTTTCTCCAGTCTCAAGAAAAGGCACCTAAGGATGGATCTCACTGCTGTCTACAACCATCTACTGGGAGGGTGAAGACAAGATTGTGCCATACTGCTCAGAGCTTGGTGATGGGAAAAGGGGAAACTCACAATTTGAAATGTGGGAAATTCCAGTAAGATAAAAAGAATTTTAAAAATTATTTTTTAAAACATAACTATAGCTAGATAGTGGAACAGGTCAAGAGGCTGTTGAATTTCTGCCCTTGAAGGTGCTCACAACTTGACTGGGCAAGGCCTGAGCAGCCTGCTCTAACTGGACCTCCTTCACACAGGGAGTTGGAATTGACCACTACAGCTTGCTTCCAAGCTGTTTCTTCTAGGATTCTGGCAAATTTTCTACGATTTTCAAGTAACTAACAATAAATAATGCCCTGGCTACAACTCATATGCAATTTAGTAAGATCAGCATTAAGTTTCCTGTTAAAACATTCAGAGTAAACTGTACAGTTAATTATAATGTAATTTTCATTTAGTATTACAAGACAAGTTTGATTACAACTATGTGAAATCTTTTAGCATCATATCCCTCCTTGGGTAGGAGAAAGCAAAGAATTAAAAAAAAATATCCAGGAAATCTAGCAAATACATGATTTACTGATGTCTGAACAAAATATGGACTCCGTAAATGTTTAACATAAGTTGTTGGGGACTGTTTGCTCCCCCAGAGCCCTCCAGGGAAGTATGATCCTTTAATAGAGCTGAAAAACTCTTGTTGACAGCATGGATGGATGGAGAAAAAGAGACCAAACAAACTATCTCCTTTCACAAAGCTCCTTCATACATAAATCCAGGACAAGTTAATTAAAATGGCTGATTAAAACTGTGCACACTGTTTTGTGCTGATGCTAGAGTTTAAACAGTTACATCAGTTTTTTAGATGTAAAATGAACACAGAAGGGTAGGTTAAACATATAAGACAGGTTTGTATCAGTTGAGCATGCTCATGCACAAGACTCCTACACATTTAAAATAAATTTCAACCATCGTACTGCTATTTAAAGCAGAGCTATCTGTATTGAAATCCACCGGCAAAAATCAACATCAGGTCATGACACTGCAGAGCTTCAAAATTTAACGTCATTAAGTTCTAGACTCCAGCTCCCACCCTACACAGAAGGGACAGACTGAAGGCTTGGTGTGGCCTTCTTCCAGCAGAAAAAGGCCAAAGGAACAATGAAGTACTGTGCTCAAAATGAGAAAAAGGAGAAAAAAAAAAAGTAAAGAAAGAAAGAAATGTTTGCCATTTGCACCTACATGTCCATTTAAGTCAGGAGACATCAACTGAATATCTTGAGCATATCCTACCCTGTGGTCATAATAAATTGTGGTTAGATCATTACTGGGACTCATCTCCAAGACTGATGAAGGTCCGGGAATTTTTTTCATTTTACCGTAAAAAAAAAAGAGTTTAATCTTATAAAACCGTTTTCCACAAAATACTTAAAAAAAAAGAAATTCATTAAAAAGATTATTATTTTTTTCCTGTTAGTTAACCTAGACTCACAGGACTTTGCTCCCTAATTTTTCTTTAGCACAGGCTCAAGCTACGATTTAGGTAGTGGTTATTTAACTGAGAATCAATGGGCCACATCACGCTAAATTATATTCAGTCCTTTAATTATTTTTGAAGGCTTCTTAAAAAAAAAAACAAACAAACAACTACCACCCAAATCCCAGGAAGAGAAAACCCACAATCAACTCCATACCTATTTGGACCTCCAAGCCACTCCCAAGTTATTACCAAGCATTAAAATGATAAAATTTTAACACAGATGCAGATAAAAACCCCATCCAGTCTAGTCTATACTCAGTTTTCTCTGTCCCAAGAAAAGGCTAGAATCACCTTGTACCACAAGCAAACATGACAGGAACTATCAAGTATCATACATTTTTTCCTCCACTCATGATTTAAGCAATCTGCTTCGGATTTATACAAATAAAAATGAGTCAGACTTTCATATTTCCTGACCAACTGTGTTACTGTTAGTTATTGCTTTTTAAGAGAACAAGCAATTTCAGGGTGACAGCATTAGTAGCCCTAACATTAGCTAACCATTCTCCATTTTATCCCCATCTTTTTTGGGGCAGAGGCAGCCACAAGTGGCCCTTGTGATGCTTGGGACCTGCTGACTACACAGTAGAGAGGGAGTGCACATTAGTGTCTTCAACTTCCTAAAGAGGCAGAAATTCAGGGACCACCTTGCCCAACATAAGAGTTAAAAGCTATGTTGCTAAATGAGATAAAAAACGTAGGCAAAGAATTTAGGTATCAGCAAATTGTCATTGTTACTTATATATAATCTCACTAGCATAGCTGAATTGTTTGAGTTATAATAGCAGAGTGACCTCAGTTTCAGTCAGCCTCAAGTTTCACGTTTCTGAAACAATCACTGATGTGTAATTGAAGAGATTATTAATGAAATTAGTGTTTTACATTAGTCAGGTCCTATCCATTCACAGTATGAAATTTAGATGGGCAAAAGTAAGTCTTAAAATAATGGTGCTGGTTCCAAGGAAAAAGTAATGATTAATAACATATATATTAAACATATCACAGTTTGAAAGAAGACGTGTCATTAAGTGTTTTGAAGAAAAAGAAAGGTAGTACCACCCTCACATACTTGTGCAGCTCCAAATGACAACAGGGTGCAACTTTAAGACAACAGCTATTCAAGTGTAATTGACAGTCTAATTTGATTTGTATTATTCATATGCATTACAACACGCAACTTGGCACAAGTGCATATTCAGGGAAAGAATGGCCATTTGAAAAACATCTTTTCACCTGCAAACTCAGAAAATCACTTCCTTTGATAATTAGTGAACTAAAATGAAATTTTCCAGTCTGTGTTGCTGTTCAAAGCAAAACTGCCCTTGGCTCTCTAATATAGATGCTGATTTGGTTTACTGATTTATTTGGCTTTATTTTTGGGTTGATTTGATTTATTTACCATAGAGATCTTGTAGAAGAAGTTTTATTAAGTCTTAAACTCCATAAGCATTGTTGCAAGATCCAGTAAGTAACTAACCTAATTGCTGCACTGATACAGATATTTTTACACCAAAACCCACTAGCAGTATTTCTTAATCCAGGACAAGTGAGGTAACATGGAATAACATGAATATATAAATTAATGAATAATCAGAAAATACGTGCCTTGGACTATTAATACCTACAGTGACAGCGTCACAGAAAACAACAGTCATGAACCAGAACCATCCCAAGTCAGCTGAGCAGAGCACCACCTGAACAAGTCACACTGCTTCAGAGCCTAAACTGCCTCTGCTCCCCCTTACTGCCCCACCCCCCCGCCCCCCCAATGGCGACTCTCTGGCAATCACAGCATGGCATGAACCACAGTAGATAATCAGGAGCCAGCTACTTGCATCAGAACAAGCCACACTGTATATTACAGTGGGTATAAGCCTGACAAAAACTAACTCAATAATACTGTTAATTTCTTTCTCATAATGAAGACTCACCATTTCTGCCATGGCATAAAATCCTTAACTAATCACATTCAAGGCTTTAAAGTGTCTGTAGTACTCTAAAATAGGCTTCAGATTATATGAAAATTTAAGACAAAGTCAAGAATGTTTTTAAAGGGTCCTTTTACTAGTGTTAGGTTTTTCCTATTAACATCGAATGACAAATACTTCCTCTAAACTTCCATTACACTAGTCACGATAATCAATTCAAGCAATTTTGACTCCAAGCAATAGGTCTTTCAAAAATTTCTTACTTTCTATTTCTGCAAAATTAACATCCAGCTGTGCTTTTTATACACAGGTATCATTAAAAGATTCTCTGCTCACCTTAACATGATCAAAAACCCACATGTCAAGCTCGGCTGCATCTTGTGCTCCGAAGTCTTCACTTTCTGCCGTGTAACAAAATGTATAAACGTGATCTCCAGTAGCACCTGCAAAAACAATGTAGATGGAATAGGAGACAAAGGGAAGTTTTCTTCCTTTTCTCATAGTCAAAAATATATTAATATTAATGAATAGAAGAAAAAACCTATCAAAATGACAACCCTGAGAGAAGTCAAAAAAGTTTTCTCCTTATTTTAAACCTCCCCATAATTTATGGTTTTTTGGTGTCTGGATAGCATTTTAACTCATTATCTTATCAGCATCTCAGAGGAATGAGGAGAAATGTTATTCAGTATGCTCAGGTGAGGAAATAAAAGTATGAAAAAGCAGATAAGAGTAGAACAAATCCTAGCTAAAGCAAATTAAACAGAATTTATTTTTGAAACAGGGATTTCACTAACAGAGAAAGCTACACATTAAGAGCCTTCTTCAAAGGCACATTTTTTTGGGGGGGGTGAGGGATTGTTAAAGAAAATGTACTTAGCTTTTGGTTGTTAAACTGGATCTTACAAGACAATGCCTCACCAATGAGGCCTTTTACACAGGAAATATCATATATCACATATAAGGAAGGCCACAGGAGGGATGTACTTAGTTACTGTACATCAATACTAGGAGGCAACTTTTAATTTAGTATTAAAAGCCAAGTGGACAACTTCAAAAATACAATATTGAAAGTCTGTATCTTTAAAACGGATTCAAACTATAAAAGGGAGAACTAGTGGACTATATTCAGGCATAAAATACAACATGAGGGCCGCAGAAGTGAAAACACAGCATCTGGATAATTTCATTATGTATTCACTATCAAGAGAGAAAAGCACAGAAGGGGGGGGGGAAGGAAAAGATGAAGACCTAAAAGAAAGTAAACTTCTGAAGTCCTGGAAAGATCTGAAGTTAGGTGGGGTTTAATGAAATAATTCAGTCAATGGCTGAGCTGTTACAGCTCAGGGATGCTATTTCTACTGTGACTACGTAAACTCCCAGAAGGGAAAGTGTTCTTCAATCAGTTGATGGCCAGAGAGAATATAACCAATTTACTGGATGTCACAATTATATCATGTAGTTTTGTAAGCTTCCAGGCTTGTGAATGAACTAACATCCCAGTGTAAGTGAGCTGTTTAACCAAGACTATGTCCAAACCCACAGAAGGGATGCAGGTATTTCAGGCCAGGAAGATGAAAGCTGGCACAGATCTTCTGGTGCAGCTCCCCCCTGCCCCACAGGAGATGTACTACTACTACTTATAACCCAGAACACTCGCTGCAGTTCTCACAGTCTAAAAGAAAATGAAGAAAATACTCCCAGGCATTAAAAAGTGAATTCAGGAGTTCCAATTGGTGGATGAGTTCAAAAGAAGAAATAAGCCCCGGCCATCAGTATCAGGATGACTGATGGTCTAAAAGGGTAGACTGCTGTACTGTTTTTCCACAGTGTCACAGCAAACACAAGACCCGTCTTTGAGAGGTGCCATGCCAAAGAAGCCAAATAAAAGCATGCAGTTTGCAGACTGAGCAAAGGAACACATCTACTAGCCATTTCTAATGTCTACCAGAACAAAAAACCCACCCACCCGACACTGCATTGCCATAAAGAGAAACAGTGGCAAAATGAAGTCATACTCGGAAAGTTTTGGAGTGCTTACACACCTTATAAAATAATTGATTGGGTTTTGTTAAAATAAGAAACCCTACTATGCAAAATGGTACAAAATATTACCCTATTTCTTTTGTTTAAGAGTTTGCAAGCAACACTAAGCCCAATACTTCCTCTGAGTCTGGGATGAGGAAGCAAAGGTGGAATAGAGAAGTAGAAGGAAGCTAGAAATGAAAGTGTCCCTTAGAGGCAACACAGAGCTCTACTGGGTTTGGTGCTGCCATTACACTAAGGGAAGTAACTGGAGGTGTGAAACTCCCACACCAGACACCACCTGTTTCTATTCAGACTTTTCTGGCACATTACCTCACCATCATCATCAATATTCAGATATTAGGATCAGGGATCAAATTATCACCATCTTACAATAAGATTTACGTCCTGCAGAAAGCAAAGCTGTCACTCTGCTAGCAGGGCAGGTCTGTGTCTGACAAGCCTTTCATGGCTCAGACCAGCAGGAGACTTTTGCTAGCAAATTTTGAAGGCACAAAAGAGGGGAAAAAAGAATGAAGGCACAAGGACAGTCAGGCAGTGAGCTGACAGAGCGTGGGCATCAGAGAGCTGTCAAACACAGCCAGGTGAGGAATGTGAGAAATTTTTTCTTGGTACACTGTAGGAACCAGTAACTAAGAGAGGAGACTGAGAGGTCTGTCTGTCCAGAATAACCCTGACCAAGGTTTGTCCCAGTTGTCCTCATGGTCTTGATGATACTATTCTTCATACTCAAGCTAAACAATGACCCTAGCCTTGCTGCTAGTTTCCAAGAGAGAGAAAAGGAATCTGTGGAACAAATGGCAATCTGACTGCAAAGGACTAGTATCTACTTCCCTTTACAGAAGCAACAGCCTCAGCTCCTTTTTCAGCATGGCATTTAATACTCTGACTTATCGTCCAACCTAGACCCATGACAAAACAGTATAGGACTGGACTGTTCAAGTCAAACCTCAAATTCTGGCAAGTCTAGAAGAAAATCTCAAAATTTTAAGGACCATTCTGGAAATAAAATAAGCATTTTCAAAGTACATTATTTTCAGATAATTTCAAGGTTATAATCTAAAAATACCATAGCAAATACATTAGCACACTGTAGCTTAAAGTAAATTTAACTATTAGAAATTAACACCTTTTAATCCTGCTTATGATGTAAGTTGCACACCGGTTCTAAAGGTATTTCTGACATTTTCTCAGATTAAAGCACTAATCATACAAGTCATTGAGACTTCAACAAATTTACATTTCATGCATATCTATTCTGATATTTTAAGAGATCTGTGAGCGTTTTATTTACCTTTCCTGTAGAATCCTCAACCAGTTCATTGAAATATTTATTTTATGACACAAAAAAGGACCTGACAAACATAGATAACGACAGGAAACAGGATTTTTCTCTCCTTCCCAAAAACCAGCAGGTGTTATATACTCTTCCCGCATCCAATGAAAGCAGTGAAACAGTTAATAAAATTCTGAACATTTTTTGGCATGATAGAATACACACAAGAAGAGTCCTGTGACTTCACTAATTTACAACATGGAAAGAAGGAGAGGAATTAGGCTATGCTCCCCATCTCCTTTTTGGCTTTTTTGTAAAAGTAAAGAACAAACACTTGATTCCATTTCCTTCCACACTATAAAATTTCTCCCTTTTTGGAAACTCTGTACTATAAAATCCTTTCTGTATTATAAAACTTTTCCTCTTCAGAAAAAGGGGAACTACTTTTTTTTTTTAACTAAAAGAAGTTGATCTACCCTTCTATCATGAAAAACTATGATTTGTTTTCCCATACAGCATCTACTTCTCAGATACAGTGCTGCACTAAACCTTTCTCAATTTGGAGGGATTTCCCTCCCTCTGTCAAAGAAAGCTCCATTGTTTATGAGCCATATTGAGAAACTCGGAACAAGCCATATTGAGAAACACAGCAACAGTATGGTATTACCCTCGCACATCCCTTCAGATAACATCAAGGCTTTTTCCAAGCCCTCTGCTTATCTTCTTACTCAAACAAAAACAGTAGAAGGACAAGGCTCTGGGAAATTCTTGAATTCCCCAAATATTTTCCCAAGAACATATTTCCAAAAAAGTAAATAATCTGTTCAAGGGTACTACCTATCCCTTCTCCCCAGGCATGATCAAAATATTCCCAAATACAAATTGTAATCTGAGGTCATGGGAAATTATCAGGAGATATTTTTAAATCTTACCATTAATTTATGAGGAGCAAGCAAAGGATAGAAAAGAGGGAGGGGGGTGTGGGTGTGTGTGTAATATCAAGAGAAGATGCAGAAAAGACTGGAGTTTGGAAAATGTTCAAGAACCATAAGAAATACGGTGTACACTTTTTGTAAACCAGTATTAGATTTCACTCCTATCCTGCCTATAATTTTTTTTTTAATTTGTTAATGTCAATAATTAGAACAGCATCATACACCCCTAGCTTGTCCCCTTTTCACTCCAGTCTGGTTTATTCTGAGATTATGGAAAAGGGTGTATATGCCCTCATTCTCCCAAGAACAAAATGAAATTAAACTTGGAGATCCTTTAAATGATGGAAGTGTTGCTCAGTAATCTCTGCATGCTCAAAGACCAACTGCGCTGACAAGATTTTAACACACTGCACACCATGGGAAAAAGACCTCAGCTTCAGGAATAGTCCCAGGCAGCTCCTACTTGCATACAGTTCTTCCCTTTATACATTACTGTTCTGGAGTAGAAGCAGGATAGCCCACAATAAGATACTTCTCCAACTAAGACACTCAACAAGCATGGCTGCAGTTCTATGACCCAACTCATTGGCAGCTGTATGCAGAAGAAGAAAAACTGCAGCTAGAGGCTTGCAAACAAGAGCTTTAAACATCAACCAAATAAAAATTATTAGGTCCTTTTAACTAAGGGTGTGTTTCCTTTAGTATGCTGGTAGAATTAGGTAAGGCCTATTTAAATGGAAACCTGGTATACACAAATACACAAACTGGAAATACTTCATTCACCACCTTCTCTAACTCAAAAATTGTGTCTCTATTTTACTACTTGCTAACTATGTGTTAAAGATTCACAAAATTTAAACATTACCTTTTGCAAACATTGGCAAAATATCAGGGCTTCCCCAGCTCCAAGTATATTTACTTTCATTGAAAACAGAGTCAAATTCCACTGGATTCTCCTTCCATCCTGTTAAGCAAACATTTAAATGGTATTTAAATGGGATTGCCAGAAGATCTCATTGACTGCTAAAATTGATAGTCCATACAAAATGTTGGGGGTTTTTTTAATGTTTTCTTTAGATTATTTCACAATTAACTCCACTTTGAGAGCCTTGGTTTTAGTTCCATTTCAATCTGTATCTGCAATTAGGCCCCATTCATTAAGAAGTGAGCTGGAATCCTAACCCAATCTCATTATGCAGAGCTTCAGACAAAACACACAGCTGGTTTACCTTCTAAACAGCTGAAGTTCTCCTGAATTCTAAATCCCCTGCTGTGTGAACTCAGGTTTTGGCATTTTAGGCAAAAAAATTACACACTCATATATCTTATTTCCAGCAGTCACGTTCCACCTCATCACAATAAAACCTTCAAGATCTTCTGTTTCCACGACAGAAATATAGAGATGCTCTTAACAGCAATTCCTGCCAACCCTGCATTTGTAGCAGATGTCAGAAGAATTAACCTTTTGATTGGGCACATGGACAAGATGAAGAAATTCCTCTTACCTCCCCTGTCCAAAATCAACACACAACATTACAAGTGTTCAGGCCTGGAAGCCTGGGGGAAGGCAGAAGACCATACGAAAGATCAAGTCAGTAATGCGAAAGCTTGTTCCACATTATTAACCACCAAGCATGCAATAACAACCAGCTCTGGACAAAAAACACAGTTGGGGTTTTCACTTTATTTTGCTACTGATTCTACAACTCAGCGTAGCAATGGTTCAGCTAAGACACTGCAGTTCACTTCTGGTTTGCGACATTTACTTTGCCATCTCCCATTACATCCCAAATGGTAATTAAAAACCCTGTCACATGAAGAGGTCACTCCATAAGACACTTCTGGTCTTAGACTCTGAGTGCTAAATTTTACCCTGCTACAAAATATTAAGTAAACTATTTTCATAGATATCAGTATCAAGAGTGGGAAATTCATCCAAAATTATTCTTTTCCATATAATCTTGGTATACATGACACTATGCAGGTATTTATCAACAGTCATCTAGAAGCTCAGCACAACACTGAAACACCTTATTTTGGAGGACAGCATTCAAAGCTGTAGGACCACAATACCTTTAGCAACGGCACTGACATCTTCATAAAATCCAGCTATAAGTGCAACGTGCCCTGGCCTGGATTCTGTTGGGACCCGAGTGTGAGAGATCCCCCAGCTGCCATTATTCTCTAGAATACCCCTGAAAACAGGATACAAGACAATTAATACTTATGACTTCTTGAAAGTATAACAAATTGCAGATAAAACAAGTGACAGGTAGATGTGAGGTAGGAAATGCAAAAAACCCCAGACTAAAACAGATTTTCACTACCACCTCCTGTGCAGCAAAACAAGCAGAACATTAACCTGCAAATAGTTCTATATTATAACACCCCACAGTGAACATTACTGTTGTGGCCCATCAGCACTGCAAGCAAATGAGTTTAGCTGGAGTTCTAATATGCTCAGAACTAACATACTTTTTTTTTTTCTGCTATAGCTTACTTTTTTTGCCCCTAACAGATGGTTTCTGCCTGGTGCTACTTTTCACTGTTCCCTCCATTTAGCTTGAAAGTGTCTAGTTCAATCTTCTCTTACTCATTAAATACGCTCAATCATAATTAGGTCTTGTGACCATGTCTGCCTTCATCTGTGTTGAATATCAGAAGTTGGCATCAAGAGAATTTAAAAACCACATAGATCTAAACTGCAAATCATTTCATCAACATGAAGAAAATTTATGTAAACCTTGTATTTTTTGCAATTACACCAAAGTGAAGGAGAGTAACTTCTCACCACATGTACAGAAATACATAAATTACAAATTGTCTACGGATAATGCACATACAATAGTTATAACAGATAAAAAGCAAAGGAGATAAAGGACAAAGTCCAAGTGTAAGAAACAGCCTCATAAACTATTCGTCTGCTGAAGATACGAACAGGTGGAGCCTATTGTAGAGAAGGTGGTGAGCGCTACCATATGCTGTTTTCTTGTCTCCATCTTCTGGAAGAAGAGAAAGATTCACTGCCCATTGTCAGAGCAAGAGGAGAAAGAGAAAACAAACCACACCAAGATATAGCTTCTAATAATGTTTAGGAAAAAAGCAGCAGAATCTTCTGAGGAAATTCAAAGAAGTTTCTAAGAGTCAAATCTAGTGGTAAATTGTATTTTTGGTGTTCTTAATATAAGCAACTAAATTTGCTATACTTATTGGATGTGTTTTAGCTCAAGTAGATTCTGAGATCATGCTTTATTTTAACAGAGATTTTATACAATTATTAATTACAAGATTGGTACGCTCACAACTCTAAATATATTTCTCACTAATGAAGTAAGAATCAAACCACAACGTAAAATTTCAGGCTTTATTCTAAGTTTGCAGGATTCACAGGCTGCTTCTTGGGCTTTTTTTTTTAAACTCAGACTTAACATTTTCAGGTCTACTTGAAAGCTCACAGGACTATTTGGAATAGCTGATATACTACAGTGAAAAATGTAAAAGGTGATACAGCACTCCAACATGTTATTCCTAGCTCTCATCTCAGCTAGGTTTTAAGACAAGTTGTACTGAAAAAAGTACTACTTTGAGAAAAGGATTTAAGTATTTGTTAAAGTGGTTTCTAATTTATTCTCACTGAAGACTCTGATCAACATGTATTGCACTAGCATTAGTGTAAGTTAAGACAAAAATAAACCCTTTTGGCCCTCCAGACACTTCATTGTCACAACAGGTAGGAAATTTCATTAGAATTTGATTTGTTTTGAGTTGGAAAGTAATCCTTTACCTTTGCTTTTGTGGGGCCATATCACAGAATCTGAAGTCAACAATAACACATACTAGGCAGAAAAAATATAGCCAGATAATGTTTTTTATCTGTTCAAAATTCATTTAGCTATTTTGAATTATTTCAAATACTTTTACTCAGAAGAGCCATTAATTTCCTTGACAGTATAAACATTAGCTACCTATAATAACAACGATGAATATGATGTAGTAATATGGCTGAAACATAACAAGCAAGGAAGAAAATATCTCCCCCCAAATCACCGCCACAGCAATTCAGACCACCTAGCGTCCCCTCACAGCTATCGCAAGACTGCTGCAAAACAGATTTTTCATGAATATCTCTAAAAGAAAGACTAGGTACTTGGCATATATCAGTCAGCAATCTGCTCCAAGCCTAATGGATATTTATTATTAATTTTATGTACCTATTAAAATGTTGTTTCTATTTATGCCACATTGCTACAGGAATGGTCCTTGCTCATTTAAAGATAATCTTTCCTCATTAACAATGCAGTAGTTCCCAAAGTGCCCCACCTGCATGAGAAATAATCTGGCTGTTACACTGCCTGCTATTATAAAGTGGATAAGGGACCAAACACTTTGGCACTTAGGAATGAATGTGCAAAAAAGTGAACTTTATACTAAACTAGATATACTTTGGGTTAGTATTATTGAAAAAGGAAAGCTCAGACAGAAATAACTTGGCAGAATAAAAAAGGAAACACTTAAAGCAACCAACATCTGATCTTTCTGACCTGTTTACAAAAGTAACTTATGGAAGTTGCGTAGCTCAGAGTTTTGGTGACAAAACACTGAGCCTCCTGCTTCGAAATTGGAGCACGATATGTAATAGCGCTGAAGATATGCCCTGGACTGCCTGGCCCTCCACCTTTCAGAAGGCACAACACGCCATATGCTTTTTCTTTTCATCATCGTTCACATACACATGCTTACACACGTATGCATTTATACGCATAAAAGACAATGAGAGAAATACAGATGGCACTTCAGACCCTTACTGGCATTTTATTCCACTCCATGACCTGCCAGCATTTTTGCTTATTACAAGGCAGTTCTTTCCCCTCCATTCACCATCCACTTTCACAGCAGGTGACAATGTTTTATTTCTACAGATTTTGAAATAGAAAGCCCATAACTCAACAAACAAGGTAAAGCAGAGACATCAAATGTGCAAACTTCCTAACACTGGACAAGCTAATACATGGTTTAACTTTATAATATTTCTAGATAGGCATGATAATGCTGAATGGCTGAAACTGAGTAACTCAAACCACTTCATGGCAAAAATACCCATTATAACTCTTTCCTAGTCACTACCCACCACTGCTCCTAGTGATGGGGCCATTATGGCAGTCACACCCTGTTGATGGTGCAAAAGACAACAGTTTTACTGCTATGAAGAAACTGCTCTGGACAAAGTATGGAGTCCTCTGCTAAAAGACAACATGGAAAACTCACTGATGTGGCAGACATCTGCCAATGGCAGACAGCACCTTACAAAAACACTAACAGGAAAAGCAGGTAGAATTAAACCCGTATAAGCTGGCAAGTGCTATAGCAAGGGCTCTTCAGATTTCTGTAGCAGACTGCAAATGTCCTAACAGCTTCAGAAGACTGATTATTCATGTTTGCTCTGACGTTTAAGCCCAATCAATGCTATTACACAAAAGTAGTCTTATTTAATATTATCTCTTTTCTTTTAGTCAAAGAAATTATTTGTCCTATGATCAAACAGTTATCTTGCTATAAGGAAACAGGAAAGGTTGGTGAAAATTAGTTTTAAGCACTCAAGGATATGACTTAACACTCTTTTGGCAGGATTAGTTTTTCACAGTCTTAAACCAAATCATTCTATTAAGCAATCAGACACACACTAGAGAGCACAGGGCCATGCATGCAGGAAGCGTGGAACAAATAGGAAGTGGCAGCCTGCTGTTAGATCCATTCAGGCCATCTTTTTTAATCACTCCTTAAAAACCTTCATCAGTAGCTTAGAATTAGAAGACAAGCACATTAATGAACTACTACTCCTAAAGTGAGCATCAAGGAAGCATTTTAAATTAATGACTCTGTTAGGCTTCAGAATTGGTAACATGCTGATGTGGAAAAAGTTCACACCCCTCTCAGATACTGGCTAGCTGTAGTTTTCAGAGGACAATATTGACTCAATTTACTCTGTTCATGGTTTAGCAGCTTTACTTACAACAAGGGACACCAACACAAATTCACACATTTCTGTAGAGTGTAACTTTGAAAAGTGTTACTTCAAAGGCAGAGGGAAGGCAGTACCCAAACCACCACAGCTGCCATCGTCCCTCTTGTTCTCTTTTCAACATTACACAGAGCTGCTTCCAGAAGGGAAACCTCCTGGATCAGTAGTGTTTTCAGACGGACTTACCGCAGGTAAGGTGCCTGGGGCATATTGTTGCTGTTCAATTCATACAGCGAATCTGCCCGCAGACCATCGGCAACAAAGAGTACGAGACGTTTTGCCGGAGGCAGCAGCAGAGTCTGCTGAGGAGTCATACCGTGAACCAGGGGAGAACTGAAGTAGATTTCAAAAATGGAGACCAAGAACACACAATGCACAAGGAGACCAGCAAGTATGAAGACTGGTATACCCATGGCAACAGCGGGCTGGCAAAGTCCAATGCTGAGAGGGAGTAAGAAAAAAAAGTTAAGCAGATAAGACTTATCAGAATCAATATTTATTTCATTTTCTATAGAACAGGAGTACCATAACCACAGTTATTACCCAGGATCCATAATCAATCTCTGTTTCCAACAAGCTTTTTCCCAGATGTTTTGGTCAAAAGGCACTGCACAGCTAATTCAGACTTTCAGATAGTCATTATGTCTCAGCATCTCACCTCTGGTATTTAGTGGGTTATCAGATGACTTCAAAAGACCATTGAATCAAGCCAGTTTGGCTGATATTCAGCTGGTTTTTGTTACCTACATCTGTGATAGAAGACTCTGAAAATGCGATGTCTCCAAGAACATACTACCCTCTACTGGCTGACTGCATGACAGTGTTGAGGTCTGTTCAGGCAAACGCAAGCCAAAGACAGCTAAGGAAAGTCATCCTACAGCAAACATCCACCCAGAGTTGCTTTTTCTACATTTACTATCAATTCTGGCTCATTATATTCTGCCTAGGAACAGAAAACTGCTTTTAAAGGAACAAAGTTGCTCTGCTGAGTGCAGAAAACACCAGTTGAAGGATTATTCTTCATGGATAATAATATTCTCTTTTTGAATGCTTTTTCTGCCCTGTCATCCTCTAAAGTCAGGTTAGGGATACATATATGCTTATTAACAGGTTCACTGGAAATGTACACGTCTGTCACATGTACTGAAGGGTTCATATGATGCCTACCTAAGGCAATCCAAATCAGCTAAGTGTGGGATCTGACCCTGAATGAGTCTTAGTTCTGACAAAGTACTACTAGTGCTGTCCAAGTTGCTAACTTCATTATTTAATATTAGCTAATGATCAACCATAACACCACCTCCATTCCCCAATTTAGAAAGAGATGTTCCTAACAGCCTGGGAGGTTCAGATATTCAATTACCCCTATAAATACAAGCCTCTCTAAAAACAACTCTGTTTCAGAATCTAGTTAGTGCTTCTAAAGGACACTTTATAAGTTCATCTTGTTACTTACAGATTCCAGTAGCTGGACAGACACAGACAGCCACTACATGGTAAGACTATTATTCTTATCAAAGAAAGGAAAAAGGCTTCACTACCACATAACCTTAACTCTGAACAAAACTCTAAAAGATGTTTTTTAAAATAAAAATTTTAAAGGGCCAGGAAAACCAGACAACCCCCCCCCACTAATAAGATTTTAAAGTTAATATATATTATGACTAATCCAAAGAAAATTCAGATCTGTATGCAACTTAAACATAACTTCCAATTCCACTCATTTTCCCTGCTGAAACAAAGATGCAACAACTCCAGTCCTCATCAGAAACATTAATATAGTAATTTTGCATTTTAGAGATTTGGTGAGAAAACCATGGAACAAGATTGAGATAAATATAACGTTTCAAGAAGACACATAGTAGTCACGCTTAAGTAATCAAAGAGAAGCTACTTTTCATTAATCAGAACTTACATGCTGTTATGTCTACAAGTGAGATTCCAAGAGACTTGGAATATTTGTAAATACCAGTTTGTTTATTTTTTATTTTTCAGTACTCAGGGCTCCTGCATGAATTTAAATACATGAAATCACAGCCACAGAAATACCATTAAGTTGAATGCCAGACCTCATTTTATTCAGATTTATCTTCCACAGGGCTTTTTCTTCTGATGTAGTTGTGTTTGATAAGAGAAAGCAAACTATACACGCCTTAAACTGATGAGACTAGAGACCCTACTAAACAAAGCAGTTAGTTCAGATACTTGCTGTGGTATACCCCCAGTGCTATAATTCTACAGCTCAACATATTCTAATTTTTTCTAATTAAAGTATTAGTCACCTAATCTGTTTTCAGCACCAGCTATTTCTCTTTGCTTTAACTCTCTCCAGGCCTGAGCCCTTGGCTTGCAGAAAAAGGAGTGCAATCAATACAATTCAAATTTAATGCTGTCATAGACTATAGTGATCTACAGAATTAATTTTTAAAAAGAGAGACTTTTTTTGCAACCACAGTTTTACTACATTACAGTAGACTATTCATCTGGGTACATTTCCCACTGCTCATCACCACCAGATGACTTCAAGACAGGCAGCTCTCAGTGCACCTGCTTCTACCACACACCTTACAGCCACTCCTTAGCTTACATCGCTCCTTTAATGCATGACTTTGTGTATCATCACTGTAACATAACATCTTTAAGAGCATCTTATTCTCATACTTACACTTACAAATAGCTCCTGACTGCATCTCAGCTGAATGCCAGAGTGGCTCCTGGTACCTTTCCTAATGGCAGTCTTGCTTTCAAAATACTAAGCCACTGGGCAAGCTGTTGCAAACAAGCACTCATCTGAGCCTGGAGAAGGCTCCAACTCAAAGAACAAGGTTTAAATACAGTCTACAGCAATTCTAGAGAGGCACCAGTGACCTTCTACACCTTTTCATCTTGACCAAGTTACAACTAAACTTGGTCATTGCCAACCCAAAGTGACTAAAGTTTAAAACAGATAATTTTGCGAAATACAACCTCTTCAAACATCCAAAGTACCATGGAAGGCCAAAACATTTCCAGTAACTGGTTTTCAGTGGAAAAGGAAGTTATCACTGTCTGGATTTCTCTGGGACTTCCAAACCAAAGCACCTATTCTACCTCTGTAGGACAAACACCTAATATGAGGCTTTTTTGGGTCCAACTTTCCACAGGTCCATTCCCAACTCAGTGTCTGCTCCTCTCAACACATGCTATGTCCCTTGGTACAGATCTCAATTTTTTCTCAGCCTGCAACTGATACATATTTGACTATGGAAAAGGCAAAAGAAAAGCAAGCAGGCACGTGGATGGATGACATTTCTTGTAGAGATCCTCTTCTCTGACAGCTGAACGGGGCCGGCAGGAGCTATCTGACAAAGCAGAGCAGTGAGACTGTATCAGAAAACAATGACGCAACCATGCACATTAGTCCTCTCAAAGAGAGATGATGCTCAGGGGAACGGCAAGGCTTGGGTCCTTGAATGCAGTTAAGTTTCTATTTTAATCCATGATACGGAAACATTAGTTTGCCTAAAAGGTATGGCAACATGAATGAAAACGGACAAGTTAATTACCAGAAAGCTTTTTCCTAAAGACTGAAGACAGCCACTGGCTGCCTCTGACAGCCACTGCAACAACCATACATATGGATCAGTTTCTGAGCACCCCTAGTGCAGATAAAAAGGTAACAAGAAAACACAATCAGTCACTCTTATTCACTGAATTACAAAATTACTTATTAGACACCTGACAAATACATCTGGAAAACAGATTCAGTTATTAATGAAGTATTCCCTGACCAAAAAAATGCCTTCACTAGGCTCTTCTGAATGTACAAGTACCACCATCTAAGACAGATATGGGTGGAGGACAGTTGAACAATAGGCTGAAATAGCCCCTTCCTGTATAAAATTCAGTTTGCATTTTAAGAAAGAGCTTGTGTAAGTGATCCCTTGGTGTGCAGAAACAGGTCTTGGCTGATACTCGTTCACTTCTTGGCTGAATTTTTCTCAACTGGTACTTCACACAGCTCTTCTGACTAAAAAAAAGCCAGCAAGACAGGAAGTCAAAGAAATCAAAAAGAACAGAGGTACCATTCAGAAGTCTTCTCCAGTTTGCACCTACACTGGTAAGAAAAATGAGGGTGCTTTACTACTCCTAGAAAGAGAGATAAAGCAGTCACCCCAGCTACAATCTATGTTAAGGTTGACAGAGCTGACAAGGCCAGACCACCAACATTTCACTATCAACATCAACATTTAATTACAAACTTCTGGATTTCAAATGTTAGAATATATGTCCTACAAATAAGAGGACAACCCTCTTTTCTAATAGGGAATGCCAAAGTCACCTGAATTCACATTTGCAGGTATTTAAGCTTCTTGAATCTAGGATGGGGTACTACCTTTCATTCTGCTGAGGAACAAGATAATTTTGTCCATGCATTTCTAGCTACTTGATATGAGAAGTCATTAATTTAAAGGATGTCAAGGCAACAGAGAAAAAATATCTATTCTTGAAGCAGCCATCCACCCCCCAGAACCTTACTATTAAAAAATGATTGACCATGGATCACTGAACCATGAAAGGTAAGCCATCAAGGAAGAAAGTGAAGGTAAAATACAGAGGGACCTCTGGGATTTGTCAGTGGACCTCCATAGAAAAGGAGGATTAATGCTAAGCAATGTTTGTGCTGTGTAATTGCAGCTACAAGTGTTTGTGGCACAAACAGAAGAAAAAGATAAGTATCTCTCATTTCAAGTGTAAATTGACACTTGGGGTCATCTCTCCTCCATTGCACTCTTACATGAAGGGCCATCAATACAGAAAGGGAAAGCTAAATATTTATCTTGAAAATATCCTCTTCTTACAGGATCTGGACACAATCTTCATGAGTCAGTAAAAAGAGATACAGGAAAAATGAGATTTGTGGCAAAACCTCAGTGTAGATCTCCTGGGACATCTGAGGTTTTCTGCCTATGATATGCTCTAGCATTACCCCTTTCCCCCACACCTATTTCCAAGAGAAGTGGAATCATTACATAATCTCTGTTCTCAAAGATGCAATGCAAGGTCTCAGGCTGCAAGTCCAAGGAGGGATGTCACTTAGCAGACGACACAGCCTTCACATAACTAGTGCAAGGAACAGCTGGAACTAGTTGACAGCACCTCTAAATTTGAAAATGCACAGATCTTCACTCAGCCAAGTCCTTTGCCATAGAGAGACCTCTTCCACTCCTCTTTTCTTCCCCCTTTGTGCTTTTGCATCACCATTTGACAGGGTGGTTCCAAAGCCAGTCTGAACCTGCAGGTCTAATGTGTGAACAGGAGGCTGAACAGGATCTTGTAGCTGTTCTGACAGGCCTGTCAGCAGCAGGAGAAGCTGCAAATAGAAGCAGCAGTATCAAACTCCTTGGTGCCCAGCAGCCTTCTGGCATGCTTCTCTGGCTGGGAAGAGGAGAAAGCAGATC